TTACCAACTACTATCGGATCTTCATCAAAGACTTTTTTCAAGTTGCAGCTCCACTTACACGTTTAACTTGTAAAGACAAACTTCAATGGAATCAAGAAGTAGAAGTAGCATTTGAAGCTTTGAAGATAGCCTTTGTTTTTGCACCAATCTTATATCACGTCGATTTTCTAAGCTATTTTTTTATAGAAACAGAAGTATCAAACTTTGCTTTGGGTGTCGTATTATCACAAGTGGGAATAGATGATAAACTTCATCCAATAGCTTTTCATTCCAAAAATTTTTCAGCATTCGACATCAACTACAAGATCTACGACAAAGAACTTCCTACAATTGTGGATTCATTTCAAGAATGGCACGATTATCTAGAAAGTGCTTCTAGACTAGTCACCGTGTATATGGGTCACAAGAATCTTAAATATTTTATGTTAGCACATATTTTGAATCATCGCCAAGCCTGTTGGAGTATGTCTTTGTCATGATTCGAATTCAAGATCACTTATCGACTAGGAAAACAACAAGGTTTTTCAGATGCACTCTTTAGATGATCTTATCTTATACCAAAGGAAGAAGATGTTACTTTCGATCAACAATGGACAATTTTCTTGAAGCCATAGTATCTTCGTCTTCAAGCAATGAAATCAATACTAACTGTTGATTCAACTTTCATTGAGCAAGTTCAGTCAAATATGTCTTCTGATCCTCTTATTTGTGATATTAAGAGAAACCCTTTATAGTCTCATGATACTTCCAAGTTTGAATTCAAGAACAATCTACTATATTTCAAGGGACGCCTATATGTTTTAGAAGGTGAAGCTCGATTACGTATTCTTCAAGCTCGTCATGACTTTTCAGCATCAAGACATTTTGGAAACAATAAAACTTTGGAACTAATATTGAGGGATTTTTGGTGCCCCCAAATGTAGAAGGCAGTCAAAGTTTTTGTATAATCTTGTGATATTTGTTCAAGATCAAAAACTCCTTGTCATTGACCTTACAAACTTCTTCAGCCATTATCCATTTCAGAACAACCATGGTCTTCTATTTCTATGGATTTCATCATGGATCTTTCAATCTCACATTTTTATGATTCTATATTTGTGATAGTAGATAGTTTTATCAAAATGGCACATTTTTTACCATGTACAAAATCTATCACACGTGAAGAAACAACTAAGTTCTTTCTTGACAATATCTATCGCTATCATGGATTATCTAAGGATATTATATCAGATAGGAAAACTCAATTTATATCAAGATTTTAGCAGACTCTTTTCAAGATTCTAAAAGTGGATATAAAACTATCTTTGGCATGCCATCCTCAAACTAATGGACAAATAAAGTGTATTAATCAAGTTTTAGAATAGTATTTAAGATGTACCATCAACTACCAAGAAGTTGATTGGACAACTCTTTTGCCATTGATAGAGTTTGCTTACAATAACATGGTACATTCTTCTACAAAACAAACACCTTTCTTTACCAATTATAGTTATCATCCACGACTTAATACTTTTGACTTTTCAAAAGTTGATAATCTTGTTGCGAAAGATTTGGCAATTCATTTGTCATAGCTACATGCAACGATGAAGGCGTAGTTAAAAGAAGCTCAAGAACAACAAAAGGTCAATGCAGATGTCTATCGAAAGGAACAACCACCATTATTCATGGGTGGTAAGGTATGGTTACTTCATCGCAATATCAAGACCACTCATCTTTGTAACAAGTTGGACTATCGAAAGCTTAGACCATTCTCTATTTCTACACAAATCAATCTAGTTGCATATCGTTTATACCTACCAGAGTCAATGAAAATCCATCTAGTATTCTATATGTCTCTTCTTAAACCATACAAGACATTGGATATACCAAGAAGAAGATAAGTTCCATCTCTTCCTATAGAAATGGACAATAATAAAGAATTTGAAGTAGAAGAAGTCTTAGATTCAAGGCGGTGTCAAAATAAATTGGAATATCTTATCTATTGGCATGGATATGATATTAGTGAACACACATGGGAGAAAGTAAAGAATTTTGCAAGTGCAGCAAAGGCGGAGGAGTCTTTTCATCGACGACATCCATCAAAATCAAGATGAAAACCTTCCTTATAAAAGAAACAAGATCTAAACAAGATAACATTCTACTTCCAATTCTTGTATGTAGATTCTTTGTAGTTGTGACGCTGAGGAGATAGAGAACCAACTACCAGTGGATTCGACTCAAGAGCCTCTATTTGCTGACTTGCCGGATAAGACATTATGATTGTCACAACCTTCAAGACAATGTAATCGAGATGAAGATCTTCAAGAACAACATGTTCTTCCTCGAATAGATGGTGAGACATAATGCGTTTGGTATCACGACCTTAAAAGGAACTCCCAATATTTGGTGATTATACTAGAGGTAGAAAGAACTCTTGACGGTGTTCCAAATGTTTTATTCGAAGGAAGTTATGAAGGCCTCAACAACAATCAAATAACTAGATGGTCTTCCCGCCCTCGTATGGGACACTACCAATGGTTGAGAGGCCCTATCAATCATCTTCGAAGAAAACAAAGATCAGAGTATGTGACGAATACAATTCGTTGCATCATAGATTTTCTCAATATATGATGACCGCTCTTCGTGGAACTCATCCCTAGAAGGGGGAGGTAATGTCATGGACATATGCATGTAAGCTAGTAATTACATGTAAAAATAAGTAGAAGTAAGTAAAAGTAGGTAAAAATAAGTTAATTCTATAATATTTATTATGGAAGCTTCCTAGAAGCTTTATAGATGCTGCTTTGACTTTATAGGTGTCTTTAATTGACTTTTTGGATTAGAAACGTGGTCAATAAGTTGGCCATGTGCTACACATGTTGTTAGCTTGAAGACCCTAGTTAGATAGTATATATAGAAACAAGAGTGAAGGCTTCTTCATTCTTATCAACTCTTTTCTTGCTTCCAGTCTAGTTTCAAGGGTCTCCAATTTTCTTGGCTTTTGGCAATAGCCATTCCAGTTTCTTTCTTAATATACATATCAAGTTATTTCTATTTTGTCATCTTTCTTTGAGAGAGGTCTTCCTTGTTTATTTGTCTTTATCAAGTTTTTGTCTTTGACAGTTATAAACATATATTTATTGTAATTATTACTTACATGATATGAATAGGTAGAAGTAGGTAAAAGTAGATTAATTTCATAATATCTTCTAGAGAAGCTTCCTTGAAGCTCGATAGACATTGCTTTGACTTTACATGTATTTATACTTGATTGGTAGGTTAGAAACTTGGTCAACAAGTTAACCACGTCCCACACATGTTGGTAGCTTGTGGAAAAAGCTAACTATGTGGTGCCTATATAAAAAACTTGCCTTGCAAGTTAAGATATGTGTTGTGCAAAGTCAACACATTTTTGGAGGTCCTATAGAATGTTGCTATGTAGCTCCTGGATAGATAGTATATATAGAGGCAAGAGTGAAGCCTTCTTCACTCTTGTCAATTCTTTTCTTGATTCTAGTCTAGTTTCAAGGGTCTCTAGTTTTCTTGTCTTTTGGCAATAACCATTCCAGTTTCTTTCTTAATATACATATTTAGTTATTTCTATTTTGTCATCTTTCTTTGAGAAAAGTCTCACTTGTTTATTTGTTTTTATCAAGTTCTTATCCTTGACATTATAATATAAAGTAATATATTATTTTTTTATACATGGAATATATATATATATATATATATACATATATATATATATATATATATATATTAATTGAAAAAATATAAAAACTTTGATAATAATTAAATATTATTAATTGATAATATTTATTGCTTATATAGATGTATAGATTATATATAATATTGCTATTGTCACCAAAGTTTTGTTATTGCCACTATCACTTTTTATTTATTACATGCTACCTTTGTTTAAAACCTCTCAAATATATATATATATATATATATATATCTCTTGGAATTAAAAAAAATCTAAAAATATATTTTGATTGAATGACAAATTGTGGTGACATTAACAATAATATATATATATATATATATATATACACACACACACAGTTTTTGTAACATCTATTTCAAAATTTAGCATTGATATGCTGATTATATGCTGATTATATCTGAATTTACTAAAAAAAAAATACTAAGCGAAGAATAAGAAGCCTCAAATAATTAGTTAATAATGCATACTTTGAGGTTTTAATTTGTATAAAAATGTAATGTAGGTGTTAAATGGAAACCAATATTTAGATTAAAAAGTCCATTAAATTAAGAAATTTCATAAACATAACCAGTACAATATATAAAAGTCATGAAAGAAATTATTACTTGGGCATTAGTGATTATGCAAATATACTAATTTACTATTTTTTTATTTTTTTATTTTTTGTGGGGTTTAGTCCATTTCGAGCTAGCATCCGAATTAGTTCAGCAGCGAGATGATCTTAGTGCCATCTCCATACAATATGCAATGGAACAAAAAATCGGTCAATACAGCTTTGAGATTACATTTTGTGGCGTCAGCATGAAATTGCAGTTGGGTTGTGGAAGTGGATGCTTGCAGTGTCGGTGGGAGCACATCTTCATCTTTAGCTCATATTCTTCTCAAGATCTTATTTCAGGCCCTTTTGCATGTCCCACGTTTGTTTGTTTCCGTTTGGAAATTTCTGTGGTCCCATCACTGGTCATGAGCTCTGTGTCGGCATTAGTCGGGAAAGATTTACATATATATATATATATATATATATATATATTTGGGAAAGATTATACACACACACACACACATATATATATATATATATATATATATATTTATATATGTGAGTGTATTTATACTTATAGTTTGCGTGGGGGTGATTTTGGAGCAGTGGGGTTCTTTGATCGTGATTTGAAGGTGCAAGCCTGTTTTGTTGCGTATCTATGCCTCGTGCTGGTGTCGCAGCCTCGGCGTTTAAGCTTCGTAACATTTGGCACATTCACAACCTTCACAGGTGAGGTATCTGGGGTCTCAGTAACTAACTATGTGGGGTTTTCCTTGCACATACTATTCTGGCTTATTCTCCTTTATGGATGAGAATTGGCTAAGCTCGGGAGATGAACTGGTAGATCAAATGCTGTATGCTTGTTCTCAATCTTGTGTATTTTAGCTGTTGTGTATATGGTTTGGTAAAGCCATGGTGAAGTCGATCGGCGTGGGCTTTGTAATTTTGGGTGAGCCCAATGTTTGTGAGTGGGGATCTGTTGTTGAAGTGTGTCAATCTGTAACCCTAATCATGGGCGTTTGTATTATTGTTTTGATGTGGTGCTCAATTGGGACACTTACTCGACCGGCTTGAATGTGTCGGTAAAGCAACGGTGCCGATTGTAATTGGGGTTCAGATGAGCTGATGAATTGAAACCTGTGTCGAGGTGCAGGGTCCGATCACAACAGACAAGACTCATGAGTGACTCAGTAGAGGAGTTCAGTTCGGTCTTTCAACATGCCAAGGTCATTGTCTTTGTATTGCGAAGCAGTTTTTTTCTTCCTTGGTGTTGAAGTGGATTAATGATGTGAATTTCTCACTTTTTTTTGGATCACCTTAGGAGATTAGGATTTAATGAAACTCGTCTCAAAGGCAATTCCGAAAACCCTTATGTTGTTTCATGTCATTTAGTGTTCCATGTGTTGCCTTGTCTTGATCTCTAATGTGTGTTTATGGAGACGATGCAGAAAGTTGTTGTGTTGACAGGAGCAGGAATATCAGCGGAATCAGGCATTCCAACTTTCCGTGGAGAAGGTGGCCTGTGGCGCGACTTCGATGCTACAGTAAGTGCATTTTCTTTCTCCTTCATGATTTTTATTTATTTATTTATTTTTAGTGCTTCAGATTCACTTGGTTACCTCGCAACTTAGGCGGAATCATGTGTTCGTGGATCCTGCCTAAGTGTTCCGAAGCAGCTTCCAGCTTATTGATTCGACTTTTGTATTTTGAAAGGAACTTGCTACCCCGGGTGCTTTCGCAGCAAATCCCTCCCTAGTATGGGAGTTTTATCATTATCGTAGGTATGCCTCAATATTGGCCATTCTTATCCCATCATTGCTCGAGTCTTCTTCCTATTAACATTGCTTTCGACATTTGGTGAGCTCTAGTTAAAGTTCAACTAGAATTAATGCTGATTTGCTGGTTGTTTATGAACATTCGCCTCACTGTTGCATTTATTTTATATGACAAATGTATTCTTCTGAGAAGAATGTTCGAATTTAAATTGGTTGCTTGCAGAACTATCGTTGCTGGAGCTTCACCTAATGCAGGCCACTACGCTGTAGCTGCATTGCAGAGGAGATGCAGACGCCTAGGGAAAGACTTCATTCTCCTCACTCAGGTGCTTCGTTTTACCTCAAGATGAACTCTTTTGGTGTGTTTCATAAAGATTTGTCAACCTGCCTATTTGGTTGCCGCGATTGGGTTTTTCAGTGTCAGTATGGTTTCATTTTCACATTGGCGCTTTAAGAGCATCGTTCTGTATGTAGCTGTTGTAATGCTCCAACCCTACAACGTATCATTTGCTTCTTGCTTTAAGTTACAACTGGGCATGTAGCGCTTCTGATTGTTTGTCTGCTTTCCTCTTATTGTATTAATGTGGTGCAGAACATTGATGGGCTCCATGCCAAAGCTGGTAGCACCGATGTGGTTGAGCTTCACGGCTCCTTGTGGGAGACTCGCTGTTGTCATTGCAAGGCAGTGGAAGCGAATAGGAACATGCCCATATGTCCAGCTCTCGATGGCAAGGTACTTACGATTTAGTTTGATTGAACATGAGTATCTACTTTTAATGTGAATAGAGTGTTTTCTCTTTTGTAGACTGAAGCAGTTGGATTTGAGTTGGGTTCCGTTATTCGTACTGCTGTAGTCACGACCACTGGCCTGGCTACAATCAGCATGAGGTTGATGGATCTGGCTTGCACTCAGCGCCAAAGGATGTAGTTTTTCAAATAAAATTAAGGGGATCCGAAACATATAGGGATACGTGCGCGCTAAAAAGGTAGTTATGTAAGCTTGTGGTTTCAGGTTTTCAAGTTTCTTCCAGGACATCTGATAAATTTGGAACGACATAGGGTGAATTAGTATAGACCTTGCGCAAGGATCACACGAAAGAATTTAGAAATACTTGAATTCTATCGAATCTGATGATGCGTGTGTTTAAACTCTATTGGGCTTTTTCAGGGAGCACCAGACACTGTTCATGAAGCCAATATCCCATCAATGCAATTGCCTCGTTGTAATAAGTGCAATGGCTTACTGCGGCCTCGTGTTATTTGGTTTGGAGAGTGTCTAGAGCGGGATGTTTTGAGGCGTACCGATGATGCGCTGCAAGGATGCGACTTGCTCTTGGTAGTTGGGACTTCGGCTGTGGTCTACGTGAGTACTAAACCCATCTAATTGATAGTACGTTTTGGAACTTTAGTAATTGCTAGTTTGTTGGTGATCACGCACTCGCTACATGAATAAATTGGAGTTTATTTAACCCTTCTTTCAACCACTTCTGGTAGTCTAAAACAGGCTGGCACTTATTTAAAATCACTTGCCCGACAGAGGCACATTGTTCTGTATGTAACCCATGCTAGCCTTTATTATTGATTGCTGAAATTAAAGAGGATCTTCACAAGTCTTAGTGGTGATCTTTTCAGTGGAAGAAGTTCAGATTATGAGGGGGTTTCAGTATCACTAGGTTATAGTTAGATATCAAAAGTTGCAACAGTAATCTATTATATGAGCGTGAGCATCACATGCAACTAAATTTGGTTGAATTCTTCTCATTGATTGCGTGCAGCCTGCTGCAGGGTATGCCCCCTTGGTAAAGTCACAGGGAGGGGTGGTTGCAGAATTCAACACAGAAGATACACCTATCAGCTATAATTGCCGGTAATTTCCTTTTTTGAAGACAAAAACTGCATAAAATTTTAAACTTTTGGCGGCAAACAAAAGAATTTTTTTCACATCAATTGGTTACTCGGAGTAAGTTTGATTTGTTCACACGGCAGCTGGGTATGTGTCTGTTAAACTCCAAGTAGAGAACGGCGGCCAAAATAATATAAGCATGTTGCTCTAGATACGTTGCAGCTTTTCTGGAGAAATATGATGGAAGTGGAACTGCACACGGATTTCGTGGAATCTCTGCTCCAGGATGATAGGCTTAGATCGAGAATTGGCTTAGCACTCCGAGAAAAATCTCAATACCTTCTTGTTGCCTTCCGCAGGTTCAAATTTCAGGGACCCTCGTCAGTGAAGTTGCCTACGGCTCTTGGCATTGGAGAAGATGAGCTAGCTGAAATGAAGGAGACTTAACGACTTATATCAGGAAAACAATTCCTGGGTGTTCATTGTCCTACTCGAGTGTTGTGAGACTTGCCTCCATTTCCTCGCTCGTCGGATCATGGTCTGTAATAGATTCCTGAGAACGATGCTTATTGATTGACCTGGTGAGGTTCCAAAACCTGGGCAGATATCAAATTGATGTAGTGTATGACCCACAATATTGAAAATGGTTCACTTTTGTACGAAAGCTTCCAAGTCGCATCTCTAAAAACAAGCAGAGGTGCCACAAAATGGATTTCCATGCTTCTTTACTGTCTCCCATATACAAATCAACTTCAATTACAGTTGTACACATCAGCTACCATTTGTACACATCATCCGAATGGTTTAAATGCATGTAACGCCGTAGTTACGGTAACCCTGAATTGCCCAAATCAACCGATTTGGCTTGCCTTATCAGGACACAGCCAGGGATAGAATGTGAGAGATGGCATACTATTAGCAGCAGGCTGCATACGATTGTGTGCATGTCATGAGAACTCTGAATTTGTGAGAAAAAATTAGATATGTCAGCAGGCAAGCTTCTTCACCTTACCATGGACTTCCCAACTACCTTCTAGGTCCCTCCCTCTCTCCCTGTTTTCTTCCTAGTGTCTACGACTACTTCCTTTCGTCGTTGAACGAATCCGCAGCACCTCGAGTATCAGTTTCCTTGGTAAATGTTTCTGCTAACACAAACTATTGGAAGAGTTCAGTGTAACGACAAAGTTCACTTCATCAGCATGATATCACAACAATACCAATGACGTTTCTATGTCGTTCTTTCCTCCCCTGTATTCAAACTGACGGCACGACCAAGACCAAATGGAGACGAATTTCTGAAAGTGCATTGCGACATTGGGAAGCATACAAATCGATGTCATGCTTTCCTCAAGCTAAGCTCACGGTGACTATCAGTTTGCATTCATCCAAACTGAGCTCTTACCATATAGATGGATGGATTGTGGGGATGCATATCATCTCGAATTCTATCGTCTCCCTCGTAAGCTACGGCATTGCCAGCGCTCCAGCGCCTGCGCACGTAATCCTTACGAACCTCGGCCCCAATCCAGTGGTGCCTCCAGATTGCCGAACTTGTTGCAGTATTGTGGGTTTGCGAGAGCAGTTGTTAATCTGTGTCCCGTAGCTTTGATTCCTGTGGAAGTGTAGTGAGGAGGGAGAGCTATGGTGTCCCGCTCTTCGTTCTGCCAGCGTTTCGCTGCTGGAGTGGGAGGATTACCCACAAGCATACGCAATGGGGCAGCACGGGCTGGCGATGTTGGAAGAGCGCGAGTGCCCGTTGTTGCTGGAAGGGTGCAACTGCGGGAGAAAGGAGTGCTGGTGTGCGGGGAAGAGGTGGGTAGCTTGAAGACCCAAAGCCGGAGGAGATGGAGAGAAGGAAGCTCTAGCTCTGTGACTGTGTCAACGAATGCAATGTCCGCGCAGCTTGAAGAGGAGCCAGCAGCGAAGGGTGAGGCGCGCGTGATTCTTGAGGTCCAGGGTTTAAGGGCTGTAGTGGCCGACACTCGGCAAGAAATCCTGAATGGTGTGGATCTTGTTATTCGGGAGGGGGAGGTGAGTTTGATTTCTTCGTAGTGGAGTATCAATTTAGACCCTAGTTTTTATTACAAATGGCATGGACAGAGTCTCTGTAAATTGCAGGGAAGTGGTTCTCGAATATGTCCATGCGTGGTGTTGAAGCGAATAATCTGCATGGAGCCAACCGAACGAATTGCTCCGAATTTATAAGCTATATTGCGAAGAACGGCACTAGGAATTTTATCGTTCTAGTTCTTCTATTTGTGTTGGAAATTGCACTGAAGTCGCTTATAGACTAGATTCCCTGGTTAGAATGAGAGAGCAGGTACCTGACTGGTCCCGATCATTGGTGATGCAGGTGCATGCGATAATGGGGAAGAACGGGTCAGGGAAGAGCACACTATCTAAGGTTGCCATTCTGGGACTGGAATAACATTAGTTTTCATGTTCTATATCTCTTCTAGTCCCCAGATGTCATTGAGGCTGTGTTGCCCTAATGTTTTTTTAGTTGTTGTATCGAAACATTTCTACCTTGCCGTCGCAAGTAATTTCACGGGGTTTCGTCTAGAGCATGGCAGCTCATCTTTGAATTTCATGGTGGTTACGCAGGTACTTGTTGGTCATCCAGACTATGAAGTGACAGGAGGAACTGCCATTTTTAAGGGGGAGAACCTCTTTGATAAAGAACCTGAAGAAAGAAGTCATTGTGGTCTTTTTCTAAGTTTCCAGTCTCCAGTTGAAATTCCTGGAGTGAGCAACATGGATTTTCTTCGCATGGCTTGCAATGCCAGGCGAAATGCACGAGGGCTTGAGGAGCTTGGTCCACTTGAGGTAATTTGACAAGACCTGCTTGTATGCATGTGTGTGTTGTTTTTGTCGTCTTGTTTATTCGTTTTCGTCTTTCTTTCTTACTTTTTAATTTAAATTTAAGTTAATTTAATTTAATTTTTTATTTTGTATTTTTAATTAAAAACTTTTGATGGAAGTTGAAGTTGTTCAGACAGTTACTGGTTTTGTTCCATACATGAAACCTTTGGAAAGAGTAAGTCTAGTTCATGGTAATGTACGTCGATCAGATTTTCCATGAACTTTATTGGGTGCAGTTTTATGGTGATCTAGTAACTGTTTTTTTTTCCCTTTTACAGTTTTATGGATTCGTTGCTGAAAAGCTTACAGCTTTGAACATGGACCCAAGATTTTTGGACCGTAATGTCAACGAGGGCTTCAGTGGAGGTGAAAAGAAGCGAAACGAAATCTTGCAACTATCGGTAAGTAGTTGGAAAACGGCGTTTTATTTAATTAGAAATGCAGTATATGATGTTGAAGTTGTTTCAGACGTCCTAGTTCTTGAGCACAGATATGAAGTGGTTGCTTTTTTGGATTAAACCCAGTAATTGGATTACGACTGGTTTACCAATTTGACCTATTATCCTCATTACACTTGAGCTAAAAACCAGTAATGAGATACATTTGGATGTTGTGCTCAATTAGTGATAGATATCCATAACGAAGTAATTAATGACCTCCTATCAAGCAACATATGCATGATGACACGTGGTAATTTCAAGGGCTAGATCACTGAATAGAGATCGTGATAAGCAGGTGCTCGAAGCGGACATGGCTATTTTGGACGAGATCGACTCTGGCCTGGACATTGACGCCCTACGAGATGTCGCAAATGCGGTTGTTGGTTTGAAGAAAGATAACAATGCCATTCTTATGATCACTCATTATCAGCGCCTGTTGGATTACATCATGCCCACCTATGTGCATATCATGGTAAGGCAACGTCTTTGAATGATTTTATAGCATCAGTTGACCTCGTGGCCTCAAACAAAGTTGTGTATAAATCCAGCTCACCTGTAGTTGCTTTCATAATAGGTTTACTTTCATGCTTTCAGCTCTAGATCCAACACTATTACACCTTCGAATTTGTATGTCCATTTCTTTATTCGAATTCTATGCGGTTGCAGGAGGCTGGACGGATCGTGAAGACAGGTGATATGTCACTAGCAGCGCAACTTGAGGCAGGTGGTTACAACGCCGTGCAGGCTATGAAAATGTAGAGTTAGAGACTGCATGTTGATGGTACAGCCTACTTTGCTGCAAGGCATGCACAGGACGTTGCCAATTTTGATCTTATATTAAACAACAACAGTGTCATTGAGAATAACATAATCGTTATGGTGATGTTTACCCCCAAATCATTGATTGAAAGTTGTTCGTCTTTGACAAGATGCTGCCTATAGTTTGTACACTCTCTGATCTTCAATAGATAGATCATGTTTCTCTTGAAGTATTCTAGCATTTATTATGGATTATTTTGTAGCATTTATTATGAATACATTCTTGTCCAGAGTGCCACTGATTATTACGGTGTTTTATTTTGTCCGTATTATGACTGATTCTTAGTTTGAGGGAAACATAGCGGATCATCAACAATATCATGATTATTTTTAGTATCTGTCTCAACCAAATTTATTTTGTGGCAAGTGAAGTACAAATACATGAGAGATGGAGCATAGACATACAATTTGGTATTAAAGACAGGTAAAGTATGAAAGAATTTATTTGTTTTGTTACTTTTTTTATTTAGAAATACTTACAAAGGTCCTTACAAAAAAGAGACATCACATGGTGATAGGGGCACTTTATTAAAACTCACAGTCTGCTTATTAGATAGCAAAATAAAATACCAAAGTAATAACTAGTTCTTAGTGTGACAAATACAGAAGACCTACAAATTTAGTTGCTTGCAATTAAAACACTACCAGGTTAAATAACAACCAAAGTTGTAAGAATGATTAAACAACAACAATATTATTATAATATCTAAGGTGTATAATTGAAATACACACTTAGAATACACTTTTAAAACATGTTAATCTATTATAATCATCAAAAAATTTATGTATATATATATTATTGGCACTCATGTTAATACCAATTGGGAACATGGAATAGCTAGGAACAAGAATGGAGGCTCCAATTGGGAACATGGAATAGCTAGGAACAAGAATGGAGGCTCCAATTGGGAACATGGAATAGCTAGGAACAAGAATGGAGGCTCCAATTGGGAACATGGAATAGCTAGGAACAAGAATGGAAGCTCCAATTGGGAACATGGAATAGCTAGGAACAAGAATGGAGGCTCCAAGGGTGCAATGATGCTAAAAATAGAATGGATCGCTTTACCATTCTCCTCTCTCTCTCTCTCTCTCTCTATATATATATATATATATATAGTAGTATGACATAATAGTATGTTTTATACAATTGACCACAAATTCAATCATAAGATATTATAATTTTTAATTTTTACAATTACTCATTTTTGTAAAACCTTGATAATAAGAGGTGCATGATAAAGTAATTTGTATTCTTTAAATTTTGAAGGACATAAAAAACACCTTATTTGAAGGTCTGAGACAATGATGATAAAATTGTAGCAAGGCTCTTAAAAGCCAAAGTTTTTAAAATATCACAATTTCCTTATAATTTATTGAAATGGAATAAGTAAAAATTCTATCAAATTTGTAAAATAGGCCAATTACCAAGGATACCTCACATTCTCTTGTTAGATTTATGTAAGCAAAGATGTGACTAAAACAAAAAAATTAACATTTTCTTACAATAATTTGAATGGTTTTTTAAAAAAATAATTTATTTATTTTGAGTTTGATATAATGTTTTGGAAGTAAAATATTTCTCAAATTTTACAAAAATAATAACAAAGATAAAAATCTTTGTTTCTCTATCCTTATGATGAGTTGAATTATTCAATACAAATCCTATGATACAACATCTATAGAATATATTATCCATAATCTTGTACATCTTCATCCACAATAGAATTACCTCAAAAATTCAAACCACATATATCACATATGCAGAATAATAAACACATTTTTCTAGACATCATTGTTACATGATTGTAATAAATGTTGATAATTTAACTTCCCTCTCTTTAAAGTTGGTTTAGTGGCAAAGTAAAACCTTTTACTTTAACTTTCCTGCAACTAGTAAATGGTCGAGAAACGGTAGATTTTGGGACCTTGAAAGTAGGAACCCCGTTCACACCGTGATAAAACGCTAACCCTACTCTCTTTGATTTTAGGGTTCAGTCATGGTTCTGGGTTTAAGGAATTGGGTTGATTGCTTTCAGTCGTCCATCGGCTTGAAAATCTTCACATCCGCAGTACAATCGTGTCGAATGAGACGATTCGAGTGTTCTCCTTTTGTTGTTGACCCAGTATTCTACTACAAACTTTCTGCAGGTGGTGAGGATCTTGCTGAAGAGCACAAATGTAATGACATTCAGGGCTTGTGTGTCACGGGTTTTTCCACTCTCGAGTCGGTGGATGTGTCGACCCAGTTGAGCAGTCGATGGTTGCGCTCCTGATTCTCTGATTATGTTGAGTTGGAATGCAATTTTAGAAGTGTAGTGCATGTATTTTAATTTTTGTAGGATAACTTCATGTTTCCAGGAATATGGGTTCTGTTTGTTTGGTGCAAATCACGCGCTCTTGCGTATGCTTCACTGGTGAGAAGTGGGGGTCCTTGTGCAGGACGAGCCGATGATTGTGTTGTAAATGAGTAGGTTTGTGGAGAGAGTATGATGTAGAATTTTGAGCCATGTCGAAGAAAGGATTGTTTGGGCTGGCGAGCAAGGCCGGGGATGTTGCCGCCATTAATTGGTATCCGGGGCACATGGCCTCGGCCACTAAGGCCATTCGCGAGAGGATTAAAGTGGTAGACCTGGTGGTCGAGGTTCGCGATGCTCGGGTTTGTCATCATTCCTTTCTTATTTCACCAAGCATACTTCTTGAAACCCCTTCATGCTACTGTCAAGGAGAATAATGCCGTGGCGACTCAATGGGACTCAAATTCCTCTGACGGAGGTGGCAGTGCTTGTCAAGGACTGTAGAAAAGCACTGGCGTTGAGCTCATGGACAAAGGCATGATTCTTGTAGTACCCAGGTTGTATTAATGGCGGTTCCGAGGAAATTTTGCGGTCTATAGCTAATTTCCTTCGTCAGATCCCTTCCGTGTAGTTGGATGATTTCAGTGTTACCACCTTGCTTCATGATTCGTAGGTTACGTGCAACTTTATGGTAAAATTTCTGTCTGGTGGTAAGTGGTGTGAAAACATGTTTTCTGAGCTTAGCTGATTATTTTTGCTTACGTGGGATTTCAGATACCGTTATCATCGGCCAATTCAGAATTCCAAGACCTTTTGGAGCGCAAGAAACGTTTGATTGTTTGTAACAAAATGGATCTTGCTAACCCCAATATGACACTTGTAAGTGCTGGTAGTTTTCTTCGTTTGATGTTCTCCTTCTGTGTTGCAGTTCATCTGTGTAGAGCTTAGTCTTCACGCGGTTACTCGCATGCCATAGTATTTGATCACTTCTGGTTTTTTACTTAGTTGGTTGAGTTACTAATTATGTTGCAAATGAAAGAAGTATGTGTAAATTGCAACTTATTGTGAGTGTCAATGCGGTGTGTGAACTGGATTGCAGAAGTGGGAATCACACTTTCAAAAACTCAACCAGCGCCTCGTGTTTGTAAACGCTCATCAGACGAAATCGGTTAGGAAGGTACATAAAGGATTTTTTGGGATAACTTGGCCGAAGATGCATCAAACTCTCTTAGGTTTCCAAAGTTGTTCAGATATTTTGAGCTATGGCTTCATCAGTATAGCAGTAATTAGTGTAAACGTCGTATGAACTTTATGCATATAGGTCGTGTTTTTGTTTTTGAACAGATGCTGGAAGTCGCGTGGGACTTACTGAGGGAGAAGTTAGCAAAGGAGCCAACTTTGCTTTTGATGATTGTGGGCATTCCAAATGTGGGAAAATCTGCTCTCATAAACACCTTATTTCGGCATGCGCATGCGATAGCCAAATCAGGTACCATAGCCAGCATGTTCTGAAAGTTCCTGTTGGTGTTTTCGCTTTCCCTTCACACCCTCTATCTTTCCAGCTTGGATCATTCATCTTTATGTTATACATACGTTCTTACTTATTTCATTTGTGGTTTAGTACTCACTACTATTTTCATTTAGAGCAGGAGCACTTGAAGAAAGCCAAAGTTGGACCTCTACCAGGTGTTACCCAGCATATTTCTGGGTTTAAGGTACCCGCCGAGTTCTACTCTTTGGTGACATCGTGTGTGCACATACGATTAAAGAGTAACCTCATGATGCTCAGGGTTTTATGTGGTTTTTCACAGATCGGAGAAAAGCCAAGCGTCTATGTCTTGGACACTCCTGGTGTTCTTGTTCCAAATATTGATAACATTGATACGGGATTAAAACTTGCCCTAACAGGTAACTTTTCTTGTGATTCTTTTGTCAAATGTGGAGTTATAACCCAGCAATATAGGAGTCTACAAGTTGCATCTCACGGTGAATTATTTCAATAGCAGTATGCTTTTGGAAATAAAGGTTACTTAGCACGAATTTCTTTTATTGTCGTCGTATCAGGAGCTGTGAAAGACTCAGTGGTAGGGGAGGAGCGGGTGGCCCGATACCTACTGTCGGTCTTGAATGCTCGCTCTAGTCACTTGCGATGGACACCTGAATTGTCTCAGGTATTTGCCTCCTGCAATCATTCTGATGTGTGTGTGTGTATGTGTGTGTGTATATATATATATATATATATATATATATATATACGCAAATCTGGAGTACAATACACCCCGCAGATGAAAAAGATAATTTTTGTATCATTTTGTATGAGGTGGAAGTTACTCCAGTGGTAAGAGGTTTGCGACAATAATAATTTTTGTAACCTAGTTCGACCTGATTCTGCTCATCTAACGCAGTTTTTTTCTGGGCTATGATTCATTTGCCAGGCTGAATGTGATACATCTGAGATTGGTGCAAATGTGCGAAATGTCATCGCACAAACTTGCTTGAAGTTTGATGGAAATCTGGAGGATAAAGATGACATGGAGAGTTTGGTCGACGAACAAATGATTACGATTCGCAGAATCTTCAAAGTTCCTTCTGAGGTCGGAGACGACGGTTGGATAAGGGTCTCCAAGCAACTTCTTAAATTGTTTAGAACTGGACGACTTGGTCGGTTCACATTAGATCCTGTTCCTGTAATGACCTAAAACTTTGAAGTTTGAAATCGAATGATTACGAAACTTTGCACTATCAGTCACTGGATTGCATAAAAGTGCCATTAAAATCCTAGTTCTTGCATTCGCTGCAGAACCGAGACAGAGGTTTTAGATTTTTTTTTGTCAGTTTCAAGTACCCAGCATGGAGAACATGTATAGTCCCCTGTGTGGTAAGATGATTGAAATATGCCACAGCTGCTGACTCTGCATAATTACGAACTGAAAGTACATGTGCAGATGTTTGGAGAGAGTTGAATGACCCGTTACATTTCCATACCTAAGTACACAGACAGGTCCTGATGGGAATTAGGGATTGCACACATTTAATAACAGAGGCTATCGTATGGCTGCCCTACCGAAGGGCTTGTGCCTTCAAATAATCATGTCCGCACTTTCGATAAAAACTACCAAAGAGGCTGCGAACACTGCCTGATCGGAGATAGAAGTAAAGCAACAATCTTCACAGTAAAGGGACAGGGTCAAGATTTGGAGCATTAGGGTAACTAACTGATGAACCTTAACCTCAACAAATATGATAATCACTATGTACAAAAGTGGCGGTCAATTGAGAGCACCCACAACGTCGAACAAACAAAGAATAAACAGCTTTGCACATTCTGTCTCCTTTGGTTTGCTGACGTTTCTAATCGACGATTGGTAGTGGTTATCTCCAACGTTTTACAATAATCTTAGTTGCTAACAACCTCACCCAACATCAGATAATAAAATTACAAGATGGCTGAAGATTTACCCTTCTGAGATTTTTCACCTTTTTCCCGCGAGTTGATTATTCGATCCTTGACCTTTCGTTTCTCTCCAGGGTGGACTATTCCTCTTCCGTCTTGGAGGTGATCTCATGGAATACCGGCAAGCAGCTGGAACATTCCATATCTTAGTCCCTGGTGTGTTTATGGAAGCAAGAGGGCGTCTGCCCTCCCAATCCATTAACGCCTGGCGCAGGTCCTCAATTTTGTTGTCCATGCCCACGCAGCAATTTGCATGCATAGTGACAACTTTTGACATGTTCTTGCTTATCTGTTACAAAAGGTATTTTATCTAGTATTATAACCATCTGATGCTGAATTTATATCACTCGGCAATGACGAGATGAAGGAGTTTTAATGGGTCTGTACAACAGAGTAACTTCAAATGCTGCACCTAGCTAATCAGTATACCTACTCAAATCTGCCGAGCCAATTTACCTCAAGTTCGTCAATCTGAAAACTGATCAAGCCAATCGAAGTGAATCCTAGTACCATTCAAAAGGTACTGCAATTGGGCGCTCGGGAATGCTATGTTTTCCAAAGAGATAATTTAGCACTGTTTAATCAAGATGAATAAAAATGAGTTAATTGAAAGTACCTCACAAAAACCTGAGAACCTTTCCGTTTCTAAGAACCGAATCTTAACGTTGTATGTAGCAATTTCATTACGTTTGAGCATCACTTTGAGGACCGACTGTTCATCAATGGATGGATTCTCCTCTCCTCCTTGGCACCAATGCCTGTACATCGCAATGGTACGGTTGTTGGATCGGGTGTACTGGTACCCACAGTTGGGCCTATTGTAAAACGAATACGGATTGCCCCTGTACTTGTCAGAGGAGATTTGAAAATCTGTGTTGTTCGCAAAATGGTCGAATGGATTCCTAAACCATAATATGTCTGCATCCTGAATGAAGAGTAAAAAAAATCTTTGAGCTAATCACAGATTCAATCTAAACTTTCAGGTTACGTGAAAAAAAGAACTTTGTTTAGAATTCAAGGCTCTCATCTTCATCATAGTGTTGCATATGGCTGCTACGAACTAGATAAACAGTATCTGAGCAGCCCAAATGATGAGACTCTTGGGGTAATTAGAATCTGGTCATGACCACGATGTTTGCATAGTTACCAAACCATCCGGAATACAAATGTACAGATGGACGTGCAGCAGTGACTTACAGTGAAGACGAAGTTGTAGCCCATCTCCAAGATGGTGCGCAGCAAACTCATGCGGCGCCACATCATCTTGAGAAAATCTTCCGTCATGTAACGCTTCCTGCTGGTAAAGTCCACCCCCTCTGTACGCAGCATGAAGCAGTGGTGGTGTAACTCTCGGCACCGCTCCAGGGATCGATGGTCAAGGGCAACGATCACCAAGTGGTTCAGGAGGAACTGGGTGTTCTCCCCCTTGTGGAAACTCTCCAAAAAGGTGTCGATCATGGCGTCTTTCGCAGCCCACGCCTGATTCAATGTGGTTACAATCACTGTCTTGTCTGCAGTTGCAACGCTCGATAGCATAGCTTCCAAGCCATCGAAAGAGGAACTTGCCGATTCGGGAACGGTCGACTTATTCAGAACATTTGACAGGGCTTTGTCAGGGTGAGATTTCGAGAGAGTGGAGTTGAGTACCGCTGTCAGATTGTTAATGGTTGTCTCAGCTGACGAAATTCTCTGGTACATGCAGCAAAAAAGCATGTCAAACATCGTGAGGTGTGTGGGGACAAGAACATGATCAATACTATCTGCGCACAAGTCAAATCAGCAAGCTGAACATGGCGGATTAAAAGGGCTAGTAATCTTGCCTGCTCCGGCACCGATTTAGATGCATCTGAATTGTTGGGAAATTTGACAGAAGGAAAAGCTCTGCAAAGAAGCTGGTCCACCGGGTTCGTGAAGGACATGAAGAGGTAAGGCAGGACCAAGAGTGTGGCAACCACAGCCACCACCGACACGGTCTTTCTGAACCTCATTGTTTCCTCAAAGACGATTTCTCGTCAATCTGAACTCAATCACAACCCAACTCCTGTAACTCGTTCTTCAACTAGTCTCACCATCGCTAAGCTGGTGTTAAGTCACCTCTCATCAATTTGCACCAACTTCTAGACGTAGCTCGTCCATCATTGTTGTGCTACAGTTCGAGGTGCGCTCGGTTCGATAGTACGTCACAATCAGGGTAAAGTTCCCTCCCTAACAGTGCATGCGATGCAACTGAGGTCAAGGATTGATGCGCAAGACTAACACCCGCTCATTCGGGTAGGTCCTTCGTCCAACTATCACCATCTCTTGCACTCAACGTGCGCCACTTTGACACGGAAATCGAAGGAGCTGTCTCAAAGTTCCAGCCTCCTAGTAGATCTTGCTTTTCGTGTCCCAGTGGCTCCATAATTCGGATTGACAGCATCTTTATCATGCAAGATGAAACCTAGTTGATGCTAAGATCCAATGCTTAACACCCATCAAAATTCAGGAATAACTGTTAAAATGGCAAGGACTAAATCACCACTCTGAGTGCTCATCGAGCAGAAGCAAGAATTGGGGATATTCTTGAAGCGAGATTTCCTAGTTGTCGTTTAAAATCAATTGTCTTCTAGATAAAGTCAAGTGGCGTTGAAACTGCCAAGTTTATAACCATCTAGTAAGCCAATATTACAGTCTCAAGTGCGTAGTCAACATGTCATGAGAGGTTGTTGTGTGTTCTGTTCTTTTTGATGGATTGCCGAGGGTCCAAGTTTCTTCATTCAGCTTTTGCAATTTCGGGAGAAAAATTTATAAGAAAGGAGAAATTGTTGACCCAGCAGAAGGCCACAAATACAAAAGTACAACCATACTACTGTTGGAAAACTTTGCCACCTACTAGTTTCTGCATGTGTGACAAGCGTCGCAGTCTAGAAAATCAATCCTAGAAATCTCCTATTATGTATCCACGCACAGCGAATGCAGCAGAACAATTAAAGCTAACTAAATCACCTTCTCTTTCTCTCTCCTTCTACTTCTTTACAAAAAGTTATGCATTTATCTATTTAAAGAATACCTGAGGATACTGTGGAGAATCAGGTCGATCAACTAAACAAATAGTTGTCAGCCCGAGGTGGCGATGAAATTGCTTTTAATATCTCATGTGTGACTTTGACAACACAAATGGTTTTACTCTTTACATTTTTTATTTTTAGATTTTTTTTATAGACTGAATCATTCTCTTCGTGTACCCTACCATCTCATCACAGTGAGTTTTTTGGGTGGTTCACGTAAGGTTAAGACCATCGTCCTCCTATTGTGATGGAGACCACCTGGCACAAGGCTCTGTTCACTACACCACCGAAGTACGGCGTTGCTAAAAGCTCTTCTCAAGCAAGCTTCACGATGCCCGTCCACGACAGGGCTCTCTGGTTATGACAGTTCACCCAATTGTTTTTTGAAAGAATCGTCTTTAGGGAAAGCAGACAAAGAAGGTAAGATGCTTTACCGAAATACATTTGTTTCAGTCTAAAATATCGTTGCTTGCTATACATGTATCACATGTTTTTCTTAAACCTGTAAACAATTAACTAAACAACTTGAATAAGACTGAGTATACATTCTTGAGTAACTTAAGTGTGCTGATTCAAAATGTTTATATATCATTTAAGTAACAAACCTGAGTTGCTGTTTATCATAGGAAAGTTAATTGGATGTGAAATCTATATAACTAACACTTGAAACAGATTGAAATGTAGATTAAAATGTTTTAAACCTCATGTTTGTTATATTCCTCATATATTCAAAAATGCAGAAATACAACTCAAAAAGTTAACACACATGAAATTGTGGAAGTGACACAGGGATTGACCATAACTGCAATCAGGAGGCAATTTTTACGTGTAAAGAGTTATTTTGGACTCTATTTCTTAACTAAAAACTATCTTGTAATACCGCAGAAAGCACCAGTATTGGTCTTTCTCTTACAAATTACAGACGTTCTTCCATTTTTCGATTTGTATATCGTAAGTTACCCATACTATCTTCAAAGGTGGGTGAGTTCTATATAACTGACTCAGTAATGTTCTGAAACATTCCATGGTGTCCTTGAGAAACCTCACAATCAAGCATTGTACCATGTCAGCTTAAAGTGGAAAAAAAGGAAATAAAAAAAAAAGGAAGAAAGAAGGGCCTACACACTGTACACCAGGTGACAGTATTTTCTCTGTTTAATGTTTAACACCAAACAATCATGTGGTGTGTAGCACATAAATAAGCTCTTTGTAGGTGATGTATTTCTCGAATTGTTTGATTTTCTAGCAGGTGTTCCAAAACTAGTGCAGAACTCAAAGAAGTCCCAAATCTCTCTGTGTGTATCTCTCTCGCATATATACATATATATATATATATAGATATGTGTGTGTGTGTGTTTTTGTGTCAGTGCGTGGGTTGCAATTCTCTTTTCTGCGCAAAATAAGTTTTAAAACCAGAGAAAGAAGCTATCCATCTACAGAACTCCCAAACAGATGCGACGTCTGAACCACTAAAATAGACTTAAAAACACGATTGACTCGTACAAGCAGGTATTTTGAAGCGTAAATACAGTGCAAACAGCCCACACACCATGTTTTTAAAACAATTTGAACAAAGACATGTCCAGTATCGATCATCCCAAGTACACGATTCAACCCCAACAAGGGAGGGCTAGTGCCTCAGATACCCCAGTTAAATGTTTGCCTATTTTCAGAAAATCACAGGTGATAAGAAACTGCGACACAGGTTGATGCTCAAGAAACCAGTATCGATTTCACTCACCATTCTATTATTTCAAATACCAAGGTCTCTATGAAATGGTCACATGGAGACACTCAACTGGAACATTTGCAGCGTCTTGGTAAAAGCGGAGGAAAATGTTTAATGGGTCGTCTAAATCCTAAGCACCTGCTTGACCACCTGACGGGAAAAGCCGCTCCCGGATCTGAGCATAACAGCAACCGATATGGCACTCGATAATTAAGATACAATTTCTCAAACCCCACATCAAAACAAATTAAGTGGATAATGAATAAATCGATGAACAAATCAATGAGTAAATCTCGAAAACAGATTCCAACTTGAAATACAGGTAGTTTAAATGATATCAAAAAAATTCAAGTCAATACGTTCTGCTCAATAATGCAAAACTACTGACAAGAAGAAAAAGATCTACAACAAAAGTAAACATATGCCTGTTGATATTGGTTAGAGGGTTCATTATATTTTTAAAAGCTACTTCATACCAACTTACACTAAGAATAAGTGATGCGTTGATTTATTCGCATAGTACTAGGTTACAGGCACCTATTTTTTGTGTAGTCGGTAGCAAAACTATTCAGACTTGTTAAATATTGTGGCATGCATACGGCTGACCATTGCTCCCAATTGCCAAGTAGCACAACACATGGTCGCTACACATCAACGCATGTAAAAAGCAAGCAAGCGTTCCAGAAGCATATCGACCCCTCCAGAGCCGTTCAGACTTTTACCTCAGGCAATTGTTGCTTGAACACAACTTCCAAGCGGGCGTCTAAAGTGTTCTCCAAAACAATGCGCCCGTCCTTTGTAGCCAATACCACTCCCCCAGTGCTGTAGTCACAGAATCTTATTAGAAACCAGCCATGAGATAGCACACCTCACATTACGTTGCCTAAAATACAAGGAGAATGCATTGCCATCTGTAGATAACAAAGAATATAAGCCATACAGAGAGAAGCAAATGGGAACAATAAATTTCCAACAAAAAAGAGCTCGATTCGAGCAACCTAAACAGGAAGTAGAACTAAACCATCCATAACCTGTCCTCAAATACAAAGCTCATCCCTGAAAAAGAAATGTTGTGCACAAAAAATCATACACGACAACTGCATGATTCCTGCTTTGCAAATGTAGTGACATATCACCTCCAAAATTTTGAACCACAACCATTCACATTGCGCCGACATGCAACCTCCTGAAAGCCTCTAATACCCATGACTACAGTTACCTTCTGAAGCATACGTTTCTGAAACAATGTTCTGGTGTATAGATAGTTGAAAAAATACCGCACTCCCAAGTACTAAGCCAAGTAATTGCAGCTTGAATTTGTACCACACCACGAAGCTGAAAGTAGGACGAAAGAAAGGGTGTAAATACCATGATGAACCATGGTTCGACGATCCTGGTGGCCCTGGAAGAAAATGCTCGTCGTCCACAAACACCTCCGGCACAGCAACATTCAGTTTCTCTGCGTACGCCTGCTTCCCTGATTCAATCACCGACTGCACTATTTCGAGATCTTGCTCACGGCATCGTAGCTGGGTTGACTGCTCCTTCAGCCTCAACAATCCCTGAACAACAACGTACCACCTTCTTCAGCATATATCACGCTGAAAAGGCTGCATCCTAAATACCACTCATAGAATGCACATAAAAGACATCTTAAAAAGAAATACTATTGGCTGTCTTTGTGCCGAAACTAGCTGAATCTTCGAGCCCCAAGATCTGAATACCTGGATGATGAGCGCTTCCAGGAGTTAGGGATAGTCCTCATTGCCGTTCGACCCAACCTTCTGCAGCTGCTTCTCAGCCGCTTCTTTCATCTTGCGAACCAAGTCATCTTGAGCTTGCAGCAACTTCAGCCGGGAAGCATTCAATTGGCTAGAGTACTCACTACGAAAAAATTGAAAGGCAAAGATAAATGAGGAATCATTAATTGCTACTACTGAGCTTGACTGAGCATCTGGTTAATGGTTGGTTCTTGCTTAAAAATATTGTTACTAACAAGAAGTCATTCATGACAGCAAACTACTACACATGATTTCCTAAAATTTCGTAACTATGATGATAGATGTCAATAGTTTCTGAGTCTCCGCATTCACAGCACTAGCAAGTCCAACTATCCTGGAATATAACTGCCTCCTCATTTTAGGTCATGCGCAATTACTCTGATGCACCCAGAAGTCGGTCATATCGCAAACTGCAGTAGTAGACGATTACATTTTACGGCGAACTTCCACTTGCTTCTCCTTGCGCTCGAACTCCTGTCGAATCTTTTTCTTTTCAGCTTCCACAATCTGTAGCTTCTCAATGTTGAATTCCTGCGATTGACCCCATCGACATGCTTAAAACCGTTGTGCTAACAAGATCATGTAATGTAGAGAGGAGAGAGGAGATCGAAGATTTTCATCCAGCATTTGTCAGATCAAACACACAGCCTGGTAGAGCCAGAAAGTGAATTTCACGGACATGAAGTAAAAGGGTGAATTTCACGAACAATGCAGGAGGATGCAACAAGTATGGCGAAGTGGCAAAAGACAGAGATAATGAGCATGCAGCACAAGAATTCCAATAAATAGGCTTTGGTTAAATTCAACAAGGGCACAAGCCACGATCCAATTCAGATCCAAGGGTCTTAAAGACCTGCTTCGAGACCTCCATGTCATTCATCTTGCTCAACCCTACTGAATCCCCAAACTAAGCTCCAAACCGTACCCCAAAGTCGCAATGGTGCGCACGGAGGGTTCGTCAAGCAATGTCGACGCCTTCTCCCAGAACTTCGGCCACCAAATCCTAGTCCGGGGACAAAAAACAGCAGCAAAAGTCTAGATCGGAACACCAAGAGATCGCGATCGAGTTGTACACTGGACGGAATCTAGGGAACGCACACCTCAGGGTGCAAATTTCTCACAATTTGTGACTATCTAGGTCACCCAGTTCCAGTTTATCACTGACAACGAAGGCTTCGTGTTTCTTTCGGTGCTTTTGTGCATCACTGAGCAGTGGTTATAGGACCCACGCGCGCATGGGTGGTTCTGGCCCCGCGCGCATGGGACCTGTGCAGGGCTGGACAGCGAAGCTGCCAGAGTGGTGAACCCATCCACCCATGCATGCTGAGTCGCGGCCGCACCGCCACTCTTCACCATGTCACCGCGGCGGCGTGGGGGAGTCCAAGAATCGTCGCTGCCTCGCAGTCAGCTCCCTGCTCATACAGTCACTAATATAGTCCCCCTCTTCCGACTCTTCGCGAGGCCGGGCATTGTGAGTGCAAAATCTCACGCGTGGTGTGATGCCGTTCCTAACTGCATCACTGGGGTATCAGCTTGGGGTGAACCCACGGGACGTTCACGCTGCGTGGAAGTAGACGCTGCCATCTCCTTGCGATCGGTTCTGTTGTAGCGGTGATCCCATCGATTGCCAAGCTCCGCGCGCCATGGGTCTTCTTACAGCGTGCGTATGTACCCGGCTCTGGGTGGTATTCGCAAGCAATGAGTGAGTAGGGAGTTCGAAGTTTTTTCTAGACTGCAGCAGGTGGACACTTATCTATGCTTCTAGCTTTTACAAGTAAAGTTGAAACTTCACGCATGTAATCATGGAGAGGAATTCGAGTCGTGGACAATAATTGTGTCAATGATCACATACTAAGTGGTATGAGCACAATCTCTCTTTCAGCTAGAGTCGGAGAATTTAGTAGCCATGTTGGTTTGAGGAGGGCAAAGAGGAGGGCAGAGTTTTCACATTTGTTGTGTCATAATTGAGACATTATTCCAATGTCTTCATTTAATAAAAATCGTGCCAAATGTGATAATTAGTGAATACTTCTCCGTTCTTTCTTTATGCGCTTTGCCCACCAGTAATAATACATTACATAATACTCTCATGATGGATAGATGGATGGATGGATGGATGGGGGAATATAGATATAGATATATACATATATATATATATATATATATATATATGTGTGTGTGTGTGTGTGTGTTCATATTTACACGTTTCATTTTATTTCATGAAAAGTTGTTACTCACTTACGATATAATTGATTTTGTTTGTTTGATTTGTTCTTCTGGAGGATTGATAAATGACATTTCTGTATTCTAATGAACCTAGTACAAGTTATACAAAGAGGATAAAGACTAACTCTTCAATAATTTATTGACAGTTATTCCATGGATTGTTTAAACTGAACTTTTTTTCTCGGTAGATTTTCGACGAAGAAAAAAGAAGAATAAAAAAGCACACACACATACACACTTTCTCCTTTCTTTCGTTTCAATGCTGATCTTGATTCTCAACTACCTGAACTGATACTCAAAAAAATATGAATTTATTGCTTGTAAAATCATAGGGAACAACAAATATAGAATAAAAAGATTGAATTCGTACGTGCATTATAATAATTTGAAAATTAAAAAAAATCAGTCATTAGTTTGCACCAGAAAATATGACAATCTGTAGAGTATTCAATTAGATTTCCACAAATGATGAAACGTAATATACACCAAAGGATAACGGTGTAGATTGTAGTGTAACAAGGTGTATATTACGTATACACATGGCATTTTAGAGTTATCTAAAAAACTTTACATACATACATTGAGGTTACAAACACATTGACGGGGCAGAAATGATATAAAATATATAAGATTACAAGATTATTCTGCTGCAGGAATGGCGAAAGCCAACCACCGGCTAGCTGGAGAGAACAAACTCGAGCATTTATAGAAAAACAGACATGCCTAAGCACCAGCTTGTCCGCCTGAAGGGAAGAGTCGCTTTCGGATCTGAACATGAAGATACACATGGCATCATTGGTACATGCGCTTCAGACTTCCAGCCTTGGATTGAGATGATACATAAATTCAACCTACTCATCCTCATTTCAGTAATGAGTAATACGAAGTGAAATTTTTTAAAATTGTGACAAACACTGTATGAAGCTCAAAACCTAATATCAGTACCCAGTCACTAATATGTCAATTGATCTTGGTTAGAGTTGCAGAAAAAAAGTTGAAAATCATAGCGTAAAAGTGGGCCTACCTCAGGCAGCTGCTGCTTGAATACAACTTCCAAGCGTGCATCTAGAGTGTTCTCCAATACAATGCGCCCATCCTTGGTAGCCAACACCACTCCTCCTGTACTGTAGTCACGGAACATAGAAAACCATGTCAACGGTAAACTAATGACCTCCTAATTTTGTCTAAACAAATACTTTCAACAACAAAACTTCATTCGTTTCCATCTCCTGGCTCAGCAAGGGAAAGAACCATCGTAATTATGTTGAAGATGGTATTTAGAGTGTTTCAATTGATTACAGGTGAGAGACGCCAGGGTTATCACAGTACAAGCTCTGATCAAAAACACTCCATTGCATAATATACTTCCACTACTCGAATTTTTAACTCTGAAATATCGTCCTCCGACACTTCCAGGGAAAGTTAAACTTAGAGTTCAAAGACAGCATAACAATAAGTGCACTTGAAAGAGAGAATAAATACCAAGATGAACCATGGTTCGATGATCCTGGTGGCCCGGGAAGAAAATGCTCGTCGTCCACAAACACCTCTGGCACATCAACATTTAGTTTCTCTGCATACGCCTGTTTCGCTGATTCAATCACTGACTGCACTATCTCGAGGTCTTGCTCACGGCATCGTAGCTGTGTTGACTGCTCCTTCAGCCTCAACAATCCCTGGACACTCACTCATGACATCTTTTAGCACAGGAATACTCCAGAAAAATTGCGCACAACGGCCATCATATAGAACAGAAACACTATGGACTGTTCTTATAAGTTTATTGAGTTGAACTCCACCGAACCGCCAAGCCGAGGAGATTACATACCTGGATAATGAGCGCTTCCAGAAGTTTGGGGTATTCCTCATTGTCACTGGACCCAACCTTCTGCAGCTGCTTCTCGGCCGCTTCTTTCATCTTGCGAACCAAGTCATCCTGAGCTTGAAGCAACTTTAGCCGAGAAGCATTCAATTGCGTCGAGTACTCACTGCCCCAAAAATTGAAAACCATAAGTCAGATGTATACTCAGAAACCACTATGTTATAATTAAGCCCTAAATGAGGAGCTACTTCTTCGAACTAAGTTTCGTAGCATTTCATGAGCAGCGAATAACCTTCTTGATGAATGAGTCAGTTCTTCAAGGGACGGAAATAGTAATATTAAAATTTCAAAGAGAAACTTCCAATTGCCTGGACACTTCGGAGATCCTGTGGTAACTCTGATATATTCAAAAATCGACCAAATTCTGAACAAACTTGCAATTGCGGTACAAGAGTATTACATTTTACGGCGGACTTCCACTTGCTTCTCCTTCCGCTCGAACTCCTGTCGAATTTTCTTCTTTTCAGTTTCCACGATCTGTAGCTTCTCAATGTTGAACTCCTACAAAAAAAATAAAAAATAAAAAATAAATCGTCGGTAAACAAGGATTAGCTCTAATAGAATTTGCTTGCCCTACAACAGCTGGCATTCCGGTTGCCCTAGCAGTCGACTCACAATCTAAGGTCATTGCAACTTTCTACAAAGATGTAAGGAATAATCTTGTTCTCGATTCTAATAGGTTTTAATACCTAGAGGGAGGAGATCAAATATAATTTAAGCATCTGAATTCAAGACACGATCAAGCAGGAGATCGAATAAAACGGTCAATTCAAATCCATGTTCCCTACTGCTGAAGAAGAAGCGAGAAAACAGAGATGAAGATACTCTAAGCCGATCATTTGACATCAGAAATAAAACTGTCACATTCAAATCCTCTACTGCTCACCTTCACACCTTGTCGACTTTGACTATCGAAACAAACTGAGAAACAGAGTCAAAGTGACAACTAATAGAAATACAACTTCAAGTGCGAAATCACTCATTTTTCACCATTGAATCGATGCTGACCCATGATTTCATTAAGACAATGAAATAAGAAAGTGCACTTTCCTCTAGTTGCGAACTGCCATGTGCACGCGATTCTGGTAGACCTATGCGCTGCACTAGTTCAACTCCAAACAGATTGACAATATCAAGTTACAGATATCGTTTACAGACAAAACCTATAAGATTTTTAACTCGACATTCAGATTCTTCACAATAGAGAAACCCCTCAACAGAATCGCCTGAAACCACAAGGGACATTGTAAAGAACTTCACCTCTTCAGCAGATACAGAGATCTCGTTGGCCTTCTCCTCTGCTTCCTGGCGGATGAACTGCACCATCTGCTGGACCTGCTTCGAAACCTCAATGTCGTTCATCTTGACTTCCCTTCCCTTACAACACCCCGAAACCACGAACGTCTCCCTGAACAAAGTACCGACGCACAATCTCCGAAGACGCGAGCAGTAACACTGCGAAATCTGCTGACGCAAATCGCAGCAATACTAGAAGGTACCCACAAATCCTGGTCCAGAGCACAACACACCGCAGGAAAATCGCTCGATTGAGAACTCTGCGGGACACCAGCATGTGGGGCTTGGACTGGATAACAAAACTACCCACATACGATGTTGCAACGGTCTGCAACTTTTTTAGGTTTGTCGAGTGCCGCTCACATTCCCGCGAGACACAGCTTCCTCTGCATCCGCGGTTTCCGGATCCACAATCAGAGCTACCTTTCGAGTTCCCGGTGGTTCCCCTGGCCCACGATGAGTTCCCAATGCGCCTCGAACTTGGCGGGCGTGCCTCTCACGACCAGGGCCACTGTTGCGCTTCGACATGTCGCGGTGGATGTCATTCAATCTAGCCAGTTTCAGCGAATTTATCAGAGAATAAAGTACAATTGCTTCTTGCCTCTCGGTGTTTGATACATGTAAGGGTTGACTTAACTAGTTTTTCAACAGGTTCCCGGTCGATGGATCTGTCCAGTGTGAAGAAATGGGTTGCTGAGATGATGTAAGTGAATAATGCTGTGGAGTTCGGAGACTTGGCAGTGGGAAGTGTCCACAACTGGCACGGCGATTTAGTGTGTCGATGAGTTAGTTTCATTACAATATCTAGCAAAGAGTACCCAAATAGGCCTGGTTTGCAGTTTATAGAAATGGAAGTGGTAACCTGTAAACAATTTCAAAAGTAGGACACACACAGTTGAGACTTTGGAGTGGTAGGCCAACAGAAAGAAGTGTTTTCCAATCCGATTTCAAAGGGCTAATCCAGGAGCTGCTAAAAAAATTGCATTAATGGCCAATTGGGTAGAGTACTTATAAGCAAGAGCTTACAAAAATTGCTTCGGGTGCCCTTGCCACCATCACTAGCGTCCGTCTAAAATTCTCACTTAATTGCAGGAAGACGAGCATCACTATCCTCTGAAATAATTATACCTAAGATACTTACTAATAAGCAACTGCACAACAACGATGTTATTGTAATGCGTCGGACACATCATCAGCGTTGAGAATTGTTCATGTCATATATGTGAAGACTGCCGCCAAAGTTCCTTCCACCTCCCTCACAGCTCCACTTGCTCCAGTAGACTCATATCGAATGAGTAAATAAGGATGTCAAGGCTAATGTACAAGTTCAGCAATTGCATATTCCTTTCTGATTACCGGAGGTACGTAAACGATAACGTCAGTGTTAATAGATTAATACTCCATGGTGATAAACGCCGACGAGTAAGAAAATGCTGGAGAATGGCAGCAGTGAAATGCATCACGAATCGTAGAAACAGGATTTGGTCCGTTAGATACTGGCAGGGTAGAAATGATAGCGCCCCTAACCAAAAGTCTATGGAAACGTGAAGCCACCACCGCCCACTGCCGCTCCACCATCTTGGGGAGAGATGTACACCCAAAGGAGAGAGATAATGACAGACAGCAGACCCGCCCAGACGTAGATGATGGTCGGCGTCTTCCCACCCTTACCCATAAGACCCTTGAAGAAGGGGTACAAATGCATGAGCACCCAGAGGGAAAAGAAGACTCCTCCCAAGAGCTTGCTCCATTCAGGGTTGGTAGAATAGATGGTGCGGGAGACTCCGACGGCGATGGCAACAATGTTGGTTATGCCAATGGTGATTGGGGGAATGAAGAGAGAAGTCCACTTCACGATGTACAGATCGGCATAAATATCGTCTTCATCATCTCCAGCTGATTTCGATGTGAGAGTGAAAGAAATCTCGACTCCAGCCATGACCTTGAGAATACCCTGAAAGACGGCAGCCAAATGCGCACTGGTACCTCCAATAACCCAGAACTGCTCATTTCTCCACCACTCCTCCAGACTGATTCCAGACCATTTCACTTCGAGCACAGCGAGCGAGCACAGACTGATGGTGATGGTAAGTAGGTAGATCAAGAAAGCGAGATTCAAGTTCTGCACAATGAATTGGCCAGTGTAGAGAGAGAGAGCGGGAAGGAAGCAGTAAACCAGAAGGAAGATGGAGGTAAACGGATAAATGCCGACATTAAGGTATGCAATACGCTGCAAGAACTTGAGGCGGGAGCTAGCAAGAAGGGCATTGTTCCGGGAGAAGAAAATTTCAACGGATCCGGTAGCCCACCGAAGCACCTGAAAAATTCAAACGCGTTAGATCTGGCTTCAAAATTCGGCAAGAAGATATAGAACAGCTTGCTGTCACACAGTCGTTATCTTTCTACAGCATATAATTCCGACGTGGGCATGCTACTTACTTGATGAAGACGATCTGTAAGATTGATTGGAGCAGTTCCTCGAAAAGCATCGCGCTTGGTGACACAGTAAATGGAACGCCAACCACGATTGTGCATACGGAAACCAGTAACTACATCCTCTGTCACGGACCCATAAATCCATCCCACACGCCCTCCCCATTCGGTTTTATCCTCATAAAAGCACGACACCACGTTGATAGCCTCAGCGACTGTGGAAGCATCCAGTGGCTCACGGGGGATTGTAAGCGCCCCCGCAGGACGACCATTGTGTACGCCCTTGTCTGCCAGAGGTCGCCCTTGAAACTCTGCAACCGGAATCGAGGCGGCGAACACGGCTGAACTACCATAACGCTTGGGTAGCATAGAGGCCTCAATCTCGTCGTCATCATCGCTCGTAGTGTGATCAGTAAGCCCTGCGACCTCGGACTCTCGTTGCTTGGTCTTCGTCTTCTTCATCTTCGGCTTCTTCGGCGCGCAGCAGAAGCAACAGATTTGAAAGCAGCACCCGTGGTCTCTGATCCTTGGGGGATCGAAACCATAGAGCGCGATTCTCCTGAATACACATCCGGTTCCGACGTACACTGGTCCCTGCAAACCATCCAGGGCTCTCATGTTGACGTCAAAAAACACAGTGTTGTGATTGGCATATCGATCGTTGGGGTCAACACCTTCGAAACGTTGGGGAAATTGAACGTAAGCGAGACGATCCCCGCCCTTGTCCATGAAGAAACACATAGCTTCTCGAATGGCGAGAGAATTGAAAATGTAGTGGTCACAATCCAGATTGAGAATAAAGGGACCGTTGGACATGACGGCACTTGTGCGGACGAGTGCGTTCATGGCTCCTGCCTTCTTATTGTGATCATAACCCGGACGCTTCTCACGAGACATGTACACGAGCATAGGTAAACGAATGTCGACGTCCGTGGTATCGATAATATTTTCCTCGTCACTGCTGCCCATCAGGGGCTCAGCTGTAGGAGGGGCAAGCATCACCTGGATGATGCCAGCGTGATCACCTCGTCCATGTTCCTTCCCGGAGTGCGTCCAAGTTCCAGGCCAGTGTGTACCATCGGCCATCCAAGTAGCCTTGGGAATGTTGAGGGGCTCTGAAGGATCACCTCCAGACTCCATCTGGTGACGCTTGGCACGGATTTCTTCGTGAGCATTGTACGCATCGGAACGACGACGGATGGAGTCAGGCAATCCATTCACACGGACCTTGAACTCGTCGTACTCTCGCTTGACCTTGCGGCGATCCTTAACGAAATCGGAACGGACTTTGTTCTTTGTAGGGTCTCCTTTCAAGAGAAAATAGGTTTCCGGATTTCGAGGCTCGATCTTGTGCTTCCGACAGAAAGGAATCCATACGCGTGCAAAACTTGCAGCCTCAGCTAGAGCTTCAAACGACAAGAGCGCACCACCATCGTCGGAAAGATAACACGCGAGCTTCTCTAAAGGATACTCGGATGCCAAAATCGACAGAATCGTGTTTGCGGTTGTAAGAGGAGGTTCCTTTTCGGGGTCAGCTGTGGAGACGAAGATGTCCACGCCGGGTAGGTCAGACCTACCGCTGGGGTTATCAGGCGACGGCATATCAAATTTCTCCTTCAAAACCGATAAATCTGTTAATCGATTGATTGGGCACAGTTTCGGCAACTGATCTAGAATCCAGGAGAAAGCGAACCAAATCTCGCATACCACAGACATTCCCCATAGCCACAGGGCATCAGGATTTGGATGCTGCACACGCCACATGAGGAACAGAGCCAGGACGACCATGCGAATTGCGACGATCAATCTGCATAGACATATTGCGTTAGAGATCCAAGCTCCCCCACAGCTTCATTCCTTGAATCTGAATGATCATGTTACAACGATCTGATCGGAAACAATGTCTGTGCTACGGTGCACGCAGACAATGAAGCAGAGCACAAACCTGTAGGGACTGAGAATGCCTGTTGAAATGCTGACTTTCCGAGTGAGCGGGCGCCGCACTTTGTCATTAAATTCTGGCAAGGTGCCCAGATTCGGTGGTCCTTGACCGCCGCCACCATCGTAGCCATCCTCACCTGGCCACACGGCATTGCCGTAACCGTAAGTTCCTTTTGTCTGATAGAGCCAGCGAGCATGGTCGAAATCTGCAGATGAGCCATTGCTCATCATGCCGGGCTTTGTCTTGAGAAGTGAGAGACGACGTTCCAATCTAGAACTGTCGTCACTGGGTGGTGGTAACGCACGCATGTCATTCTCAGATGTGTTCTGAGAGAACGGCTCGTCAGACACGGTGTAGTCGTCCTTGCAACCGGGACACTTGCCAGATCCGTTCAGGGCATCAATGTAACAGTCCCGACAGATCTTGAAGTGGCAATCACAAGGAGTCATGTCTTCCCCCCGCTCGTCGCGCATTGCCTTGCCGTCACAGTTGATGACTGAGCAAGTCGGACCGCGTACGGCCCCTAGCTGCGGATGGTTCCCCTGATCTTCCATCATCTTTTCCATGGTGTGTCCCCGCGTCTGATTCGAAAAACCACCGGTGAAAATCGTGCTAGACACAAACTGCTGCTGAGCCTTTCCGGGAATAACACGATCCCCCGCCATAGGATGATCCGGTGTGGCGGGGATCTGGACAGTGTACAGGTAGTCAGATCCCAATTCACTGTCTGTAACGCCTCCCATCTCACTCATGTCACGCGAAAGATTGTTGAATCTCCCGCTGGATGTTCTCCTCGCATGGTGGAGTGAGGGCCCGCTGTTTGAACTATGGCTATCCGGATTGGATCGACCACCCATTTGGGCGCCGCGTGATTGTCCAGCGTTTCGAAATCCTAGTCCTCCTGTTGCAGCAGACCTTGGCGAAGCCATGGCTGCAAATCTTCGCACTTCGATCACTTGTCAAACATAGATGAGGGCCTGGATCCGAATTTCCAGGGTATAGCTCAATGCCCAAATTTGAGTTCAAACTTCCCGAATGTCAGCTGCCGCAATGATCATTTCCAGAAACTACTTTAGAATCCCTGCGAAATTCCAAATCAGATACTAACGGTTTTAGTATGAGAAGGAGTGCATTTCTCTGTCTCCCATTCTCGAACTGAGATGGAGGTGCATTGATTCCAAATCATAACCAATCAAGAGGTGCAGAACGCGGCTATCAAATGCCAGTTCCAGAGAAGTTTGGACCTAGAACAATATCGACTCAAGTAATAAACCTTCATCCAAGCCTTTTCCTAGTTCTAGGGGAGCGTAGTAGCTAGTACTCTGGCCAACACCTCTTCTTCGCTAGGAGCCAATGTTTCAGAAACAGGCATGTTACTGACTCCATAACCCGCGAACATCATGCCCGTTTCCCGTCTCAACTCAGGAGGTTTCGGATCTTACGTAGCAACTACTATCAGCTGCTTCCCACATTACGTACTATTTCGCGATCGAATGCGATTTCTATCTCAGAACAAAGAAATGCGATTCAAAAACATGAAGCCAGATCTAGAACCATGTCTCACTCACCTGGAGGCGGCAACCACCTTCGCCAAGCCAAGTCTCAACGTCCCAGGCCGAGGACTTGCTGGTAAGGAGAGCTCGTCTGGTTCACCACACGACACACACAAGAAGAGTAACTGAAGTCGGGCTGTTCATCACATCACAATTGAACCACCCCTAGAGCCCAGCCTCTGTTCCCCGCCCTTCTCCAATTACTGGTACCAAGCGGACGGACTAGAATAGGTGATTACTCATTCTCTGCATCTGCGCACCCAAGTAAACGCCTAGCTCCTCGTCACACCGCCTGACTACGCAGTGGCGGTCAGGCTTGAGTTCATCAATCGCGCTAAATACCAGCTGTAAAGAGTCAACGTGGTGGAAGATGTGCAACGAATCCCCTCTATTAAAGGCTCAATGCGAATCTGAACGACGGGACAATTTGGTAAAATATTCAGGAACTTGCCACAACACGCATCTTAAATGGTCCTCTTGGCGATGAAATGGCATGGCTTGGGTTTCACTCGGGAGATATCAATATCGGGCGACGGATCTGGGCGAGACACCAGATCCGGGTTCTAAGTTGGGATCTGGGCCCCATCCTACGGTGTGGGTGCCGAGCTCAGGACGGGTCCAGTTTCAACCTGCATTGACAGCCAAAACCAAATGCAGACTAATCGATCGTAATTCAGACGAATCTAGCATCGTAAGTGACTGGACGGATATGTTAACCTTTTTTCAAGGTTGCAAGTTACAGTCCGAGTTTGGTCAATCTGTGTCTAGATCTGAACGTCTCGGCGATGTGGTGCTGCTGCCTCGGTGACGCCGTTCTGCTTTTCATCGAGCTCTTGTCCACCATGGATTTTGTCACCCACATTCCTCTTCTCGGTGGTTCTGTTTTCGATCAATGGATTAGCCGCACCGGCCCACAGTTAATGAATTCCATGGGGAAGTGGGGCTTTTTTGTCCCATTGAATAGCTTGTGAATCAGATTCAGTTCTGCCAATGGCATCCCAAATAAATGTTCACATTCAATTAATGTAGTATAATTTTAGTATGGCTGGGATAACTCGAGGAACTTCCTGGCATCCACGACTTACTCAATTTGAAATTTGATTTTCATTCTGTTCTATTCCAGTGCATGACTTGGATAGTATCATTAATTGTTTAAAAACCTAACTTTTTCAGGGAAGTCTTCGTTCCTGTGTGCGCATGGTCGTTTGAGAATGTTCCATTTAGTCTTGTGCAACTTGAGCCTACTTTTGAATGCCTGCAGTTAGATTTGCCTCCAAACAAGTATTCTCAACAATATTGGGTCTGTATCACACAGTAGTCCATACATGCTGTAAAGTTCTGAGAATTGTTTTCTAAAGGAAAACTCAATTTTGTTTGACACAGTTTGGTATCCCGAATTTCATGATTGTCTTCAAATATATTCTATTTTTATAATTTATACTTTACAAATTGAATCACATTTTCCACTGATCTAAGTAACTCCAGATGGATTACTTAATGGGTTGTCATGTTTAACAAGAGGGTGTGCAAATTTCTTGAAAAAGACTATCGATTAATATTTTAGGTTTGTCTACAAATTTTTTGATACAATATCAAAAGTTATGACACTTTATTTTTCAAAACTGTGTTTAGTTGAAGAAAAAGTCGTTTTAAAATAATAATTAAAACTGTTAGTGAAGTATTCTATTAAATCTAATAAATTTTCAATAAATTGCAATATCTTAATAAGCAATTTAATTATTTTTGAAAGAAATTATTGAAACTAAACATTATTTTATGAAAAATTTTGTATCCTTTTAAAATGCACTTAAAACATAATCATTAAAATTTATTAATATTTGCAATGATAATATATTATTATAATTTTAAAATATATATAATAAACAAACCATCAGTTTTATAATTTAAAGTTAATTTAATTCTAAGTTTATTTAATTATATTTAAATTTTGTATTCAAGTAATAAAAAAATAAGCATCATGTTCATAATCAACATTATATTTTTAAGCTTTTGATTAACATTATAAAGTCAAAATATAAATTAGTACTAATTATATTTAAATTTTGTATTATATATATTTATATTATTTTAAAAATTAAATGTAAATAAAAATAAATAAAGATGGTTATATTTATTATAGACATCTAACAAGAAGATTTTAGAAATAGCTTTAGAATATTCTTTTAGATTCTAAAAGATTCCAAAATATTATCAAAATATTCTTAGAAGGTTCTTAGAATATTTTAGTAAATTCTAAAAAGTTCTAAAAGGATTAAGGAAGTTGTTTGGGAAGCTTCTTAAGATTGCTTCATCTTCAAGTAATATAGAAATTTCTTGAGGAGCTTCCTAAAGTCGCTTCATCTTTAAGCAATATAGAAACTTCTTGAGAAGCTTTCTAATATCTAGTATATATTGGAATTGAGGTTGATGGGATCCTCAATCTTGATAATATATCTTTTGGAACTCTAGTTCACCTTTCTTGGTATTAATTTTGTACTTATTTAGTTTAATCAAGTTATTATTAGCTTTCTTATTAAAAGTCCTCAATTTAACTTCTCTTGTAATCTCTTATATAGTATATCTATGATAATATCTTCTTTGTTAATATAACAATTAATTTTTATAAATAAAAATTAAATTTAAAAATACTATTATATATACTATGTATTATAAAATCTTTTTGTAATAATTCTAAAATCTAAGAAGTTATTATAGAAATATTTTACAACTTAGATATATGTTCTACAAACTTTGAAAATCTTATGAAGTTTCTATATACTCTTTCTAAAAAGTTGTATATATAAAAGTAAAACCATTATTTTTTTTAATTATTTTGAATTTTTTTCTTATATTATAATTATTAAATTCCAAAGACATGAATAAAAAGTAAAAAATAAAATAAAGTAAAATTATATCACTCAAAATATATATATATATATATATATATATATATATTCATATATAATAGATGTAAGATAAATTAAAATTAAAATAGATATTTTTAATTATAAAGAATTTAGAGATTCTTAAACAAAAGCTAGAATATTAATAATTGATTGATTTTCAAAGACAAGAACTAGAAGAAGATGCATAAACCTGAAAAGTTTGTGTTAAAAGAAAAGTGACAAAATAGTAATAAAGTAGTATGTATATTAAAAAAAAATTGGAATGCTATTGCCAAAAGATAAAAAAACTAGAGATTCTTAAAACTAGACTAGAAGCAAGAAAAGAGTTGACAAGAGTGAAGAGGGTTTCACTATTGCTTTTATATATACTATCTAACTAGGAGCTATATGGCAATGTTCTATAGGACCTCTAATAAGTGTTGACTTTGCAAGATACATGCTTTAGCTTATAAGGAAAGTTTTCTATATGTGGGCCACATAATTAGCTTATTTTCCAAGCTATCAATATGTGTGGTACATGGCCAACTTGTTGACCATGTTTTTAATCTAAAAAATCAATTATAGATACCTATAAAATCAAAGAAATATCTATAAAGCTTCTAAGAAGCTTCTATAGAAGATATTAGAAAATTAATCTATTTTTATTTACTTTTATCTAATTATATAGATAATTATTGGTTTACATATATATTTTTGTGATATTGATAGGTTATAGACTTTGCCAATAAGTTTGTTATGTATTGCACATGTGAATAACTTGTGGTATAAGCTAGCAAGATGGCACTCATATAAAAAACTTTCTTTATAGTTAAAACACATGTTGAAGGTCATATAGAATATTGCCACATAGCTCCTAGTTAGATAGTATATATGGAAGTAAGAATAAAGCTTTCTTTACTCTTATCAATATCTTTTTAGTCCTTGATCTTATATTAAGTCTTTTCAGTCTTATTGTTTCTAAGCAATAGCTATTCCAATTTCATTACAATATTAGTTTTGAATAAATGCATATTCTTTCTAAGTGATATAAGAATATATTGAGTTTTTTTTTTTTTTTTTTTTTTTTTTTTTTTTTCTTTTTCTTTTTCTTTTCTTTTCTTTTCTTTGAGATTCATGTCCTTGATAGTTTAATAAGAGCACTAACTCATTGTTTTTGTTTTGTTTTTAGAAATGAGTAGATTATGCCACTTCTATTGTTATATTTTGAAGGTTGTAAATTATCCACATTTGAATAAATATTTATTTTTCTATTACAAATTTTTTTTCTTTAAAGAGAGAAGATTATCTTTCTTTGTAGAAATTTTTATTTGATATTAGAAATTATAGATTAGCTTCCTCTAATTTGACTTATGAATTTTTTTGAGTTATCTATAGAAGAAAAAATTATAGATACTATTTTTGATGGCAGTGAAAATATATTTATAATTATTGCAAATCTTCATGTTCTCATCAATATTCTTAAGGTAGAAATTTTATGTATTTTTAATGTAAATTATAAAGATACTATTTTTACTTCTATGAAAGTAATCAATAATAAAATTTTAAGACTATGCCAAAAATTATATAATTAAGAAAATCAAGTAGATTAAGTTTATAATCAAATTCAAAAAGCCTTATTACTATAAGTATAAAAGAAGCATGGAGAAGTATGTTGAAGAAGTTTGATTGAACAAGAAGAAAGTTTTAAGGATTTCTAAAACAAGTAAAGCTCAATTTAAGATTGTTAAAAAGAATGATTTGATTGGAGAGATACAAGTCAAGTCATGACGATAGCTTTTAAGTTTTTGGAAGCTTATTCATCTAAACCAAAGCCTATGCAAATTAACAAAATATGTTTTAAATCTCTTATTGAATAAGAAAAGAATCGACATTGTAAAGGAGGTTTATGCCTATATTATAGAAAATCCAAATACATTGCTTAGTATTATCCAAAGAAGCAACATAACCACAAAATGAAAAATGTGGTTGCCAAAGATGACATTGTGTCAAAAAATAAGTTTTTTCAGCTATAATAGGAACTATAGAGTTGGAATCTTATGCAACACCTAATAAAGTTTATATATATATATATATATATATATATATATATATATATATGTCAATATTCCTTACCTTATTTTATAATAAAAGTTTATTTAATATCAAAGAATTATAAAATCTTTATTTTATTTGATTTAAGAGCCTTAGTTTATTTTATAAATAAATATTTTGTCAAAAAATAAGAAATATTCTTAATCAAGAAAATCAAATTTTTACATATAGAAGTCATAGATGGTCATTTGTTTTTCTTTTGAGACACTATCCATGAAATAAATTTTTTAGAGGTAACAAATAAAGTATCACTGACATACATAATTATTTCAATAATTATTTATAAGATTAAGTAGAAGTAAATAAAAGTAAATTAGTTCAATAATATCTTATGAAAAAGCTTCCTAAAAGTTTCATAGATTTAACTTTGACTTTATTTATATTCGTAGGTTAGAAACTTATTCAACAAGTTAGCCACATATTGCACATATTCAT